TTTACTACCATGTATTTCATAACTCCATTCTATATTCCTTGACACCAGCTGCGCCTGTTCTTCCTCCTGGGTCTTCTTTATTCTTTCGCTAATCTCTTCCCAGATCTCCCCGACTATGCCGGACACTTCAGTCGGTTGACCCTGTACGACAATACAATTAGCATCTGCCTCGACTTCAAGTCTGACGTCACGGTCCTCGGCTTTTCTTCTCAGACTGTCAACCTGTTTATGAGAAAGTTGACTTATGACCTCATTTGTGACGTTCTGTGTTGTACAAGCTTCAGAAAAACCTTTCTTCAGAGATTCAACGGCTTTTTCAACGCCTGCTGTCTTCTTGCCAAGAACACAAATTTGAACAATGTACTCTTGACTTGGGCGGTTCGTTTGCCTTCTTTGACGCTTTCTTGGCTGGCAAGCATCTATCTCATCTGAAAATGGGTCTCGATAAGTTGTCTCCTGGTACACGTCACCTTGCAGAGCCTGAGTATACATACGGCCCTTTAAACCTGGTACCCTTCGAGAAAAGGTCATTTGACCACGTTTTATACTATTGAGAAGACCGCTCTTTGTGTGAAAAGGAAATAATTTGTGCTTGGCTGTCAATTTGGCAATCTCTCGTTTGAAGGCAGCAGTTAATGTCTGATCTTGCTCGAACACAACAAATCGAATATCCTGCACGTTAGACCCAGGGTTTGCTCCGCAAAAGCTGATCGTTTCTTCTAACATGATTCTCGAGGCTGCATCCCGCGGGAAGCCAAGGTTTCCAGTTCCTATGACGGGAAATGCAATGGACTTCGCTCCAAGCTCTTCACCCTTTTGGAGACACTTCTGCACAATGCCCCTGAGAGTCTAAAACAGAAAGTAAATTAATTTGCTAATGTGGACATCAAAGGTGGACCATATAACATCTTGTATTTGTATTTGTATTTGTATATTTGTATATATATTTTTAAATTTTAATAAGTGGGGACATCCCTAACATGGTGCCATTGCGCTTTTGGTTGTCTCGTTCTCCACTGCCTATTGTTTGTTTGTTTGTTTGTTGTTAGTTAGTTATCTTTATTATTCATAATGTATTCGTATTGTATTGGAGTAAATCGTAATAAATAAATAAATAAATAAATAAATAAATAAATAAATATAACGAGAATTGTACAACTCCAGTAATAATAATTCTTTTTTTAACTTTTTCGCGCTCGGGTTCTTTGCTTTCACGTATTTTTTGAACTCTCTGCTTTCTTTTGATTCTACAGAATTTAACATAATTTAGGTGTGTTGCAAATACATTTATGTTTCCTGCTGGATTTCAAATACATTTTTCCACCTTAAGATGCTAGCTGTACGTCTACGATGGTGGATGTTGAAATTAAATTTGTCGTTCTGGGTTTCTAATTTCTCTCCGTCTTCCCGGGGTTTTACCATCTATGCTCCTTCTCGCTAGCAATCACATCTTTGATAGTTTTCTGTCTTTGTAAACCGTCTTCTCAAGGCCCATCGATGGCTTTAAAGCTTCAACAACCTATCAATCTAACCATATAGCCACCTAAGGCAAAATAAAACATACACTAACCGCCTTCCCATTGCCATTGTTCCATTTGCAACAGTTGGTGTGAATCATGTGACCGACCAAGGGAAAACCAGGACAGACAGTTACGTCTCCAACGTTTGGAGGTGCCATTAAAGGAACACCAGCATTACCAATGGCTTCAGAGGGTGCTCCGACCGAACTCACCAATACATCAGCCTGTAGTTCAAATTAAAACTCTGGATTAAAATGATAAGGGACTAAATAAGGATAGAATTGAAGTGTGCGCTGTAGTAACTTTTAAACGAAAACGAGCAAAGAACTAGCAGCTTGTGTATTGTGTTGTACCTAATAAAGATGAGCGAATTGAAGGAATGCAGGGTGCAACAATTCGGGGGCATTTATCAACTTAACTTTCAGCAGTTTTCCGTGGAGTTAAACGGTGTGATAGCAAACCAACATTATAAAAGACAGTTGGAAAGTATGGGTTTTCTTAACTGCAGTAAAACCTGGTTGATAGCTTGAAATAACAAAATTATAAATGGCCGACTAACAAAAACAGATAACTGAACGCTCCATGTGGACGGATAGTGGCGAGTCGGTAAGTAGATTTGTTGAACACTCACCTTCTCATTCTCAATATATCCAGTTCTCCATGATATTTTCTGCTGGCTTTCAGTAAACAAGGTAATCAAGGTGGACGCAGTAGACCCACTGCCTGCGTGGTCTTCTTCCTCTTTTTCCTCTTCTTCTTCTTCTTCCTCTTCTTCTTCGTCATCTTCATCATTGATGTCGTTGTCATTACTTTCAGAAGATGCACAATCTCCACCTTCTGCTTGGCTGCGCGAGTCATCTGTCCTTTGGCCAAAATTCTCCTGGACTTGTATCGCACAGTCTTGATCCTTTTCCACTGATTTCACAAGAAGATCTCCTTTTCCGCTTTCAAAGAACTTCCAGAGGCCTGGCTGTTCCACGTGAAATGTCTCTGACGCGGTGTCCTCTATTAGAGCGTCAAGCTTTTCCCTTACGCGGGTCAAGCCTTCTTTGGTTCCAGAAATGTCAAAATCGTCTTGGCCTTTTCCTTTCTCGATCTTCACCTCAAAATCTTTCAGTTGATCTTCAATGGAGAGTAAGTCTTCCTGGCGACGCTCAGAGAGATACCATCTGATAATCGGAGATGAGCATATAAAGTGTTCTTGCCTGATGTTTTCGCTTTCCAAAAGCTTCTTCACGAGCCTCGCGGCATTGTCCGCATGCGCAGCTGACGTTCCCACAACCCTGGCGTCTTTGCCAATGGCGAACACTGCTTCCACATTATTGATTTGCAGCTCACATTTCACTTTCATTAGCCTTTTTTCCGAGCCATGACAAGCTTTCAAGATGCTGTTGGACAGAGTCAATTTCCTTTCAACCATGCCTGACATTTGCTTTTGTAGCATCTCAGTTGCTTCTTTAAGATGCCGCTCAGGACCTTCAAAATAGATTTCTTCGCCTTCGATGTCTGGCTTTATCTTCAGCTTCTTACTCTTCTCTTGAAGTTTCTCCACAAACTTGAACTTCATCAGCAGAATCAAGCGTTCTTTTGGAACGTCCTCTCTTCGTGCTTTTCTAGTTTCTGCCCGGTATATCTCTTCCAATTTAGNAAGATGCCGCTCAGGACCTTCAAAATAGATTTCTTCGCCTTCGATGTCTGGCTTTATCTTCAGCTTCTTACTCTTCTCTTGAAGTTTCTCCACAAACTTGAACTTCATCAGCAGAATCAAACGTTCTTTTGGAACGTCCTCTCTTTGTGCTTTTCTAGTTTCTGCCCGGTATATCTCTTCCAATTTAGATCTCAACTTCTTTTCGTAATCTTCCACATCTGTGCTCAGTGAAACGATTCTGACAGCAAATGTATCATCGATAGTTTTGACCAGCGGAGGATCAACTCCCAGGCAGGCGCAAATACTAGATAACTGTGCTTTCACTGATTCCCACAAATCCCTGTTGACTTGAACGTCGCGCTTTACAAAGTTGCCGAGGTAGTTTTGTACTTCATCAATGCATGCAGATGACCACGAATCACTGTTGTCTTCACCCTTGTGCACTATTACAGCCATTTTGTTGTTCGGTTTCCAGGTAATTTCGCTCTTCTTTGCTGCCAGGGAATTGCTCAGTTGATCGCGAAATACTGAAGTGGTGACGAATTCCATTACATCCGGGTCTACAGCTATGTGTAGCTGCTGTGTTTTCGCTTCGGACTGCTGACTCACTTGTGCCTTATCGGCGCCACCGCCAAGCACACCGCCTTCCTCACAATCTAGAAACTTGTGGTAAATTCTGATTGACAGTTGCGCTCGATTTAAGACATGTGGTTTCTCTTCATGTCTGGCTAAAACTCTTTCCATATCTGTGAACGAAAAAAAAAGGAATTTTGGTTCATGCACCCAATCGAAGAGAGAATGAAAGTGAAGAATGATCATCGCAGTAAATTTTCCCATTTAAAGTGGCTAGGTCACGCTATTTTATGTAATTATGTTTAATTTTGTTAATTATGAGCTCTAAACGTCAAATTGGCAGAGCAAGAGTCTTTCATTTGCAAAATCACGGACACATAACGACTGAGAATGATTTCCCAGCTGTGTAAATGACATTTTGACATAAACTGGTATAAATTTTAAAAAAGGTGGACCGACATTTTTCAAATTTACCCAAATGCAATCCGTTTTAATCCTCTCCACTTTTGTCCATCCATGTCCCTTCTTGGCTTTCCTGTGTTTTGTTAGAGTTCTTCTATAGTTTTGAGCCGTTATTTTGACACTTTAGTTAATTCTATGACTATTTGATCAGTGCTGAAATTGCCTAAAATTGCGTGACCTAGCCTCTTTAAGCAATTGGAAAGAAGAAGCCTGAAAAAATCAGGGCTTCAACGGGATTGGGACCCGTGACCTCCGCGAATACTGGTCCGATGCTCTTCCAACTGAGCTATGAAGCCACACATCTGGAGCGAGGTCAATTAATTGAGTTCAAATCTTCCCGTGAGGAGTGAAATGATGTGAAGTATATATGAATTAATTCATATTTGAACTGCGGTTGCAGATTTAAGTGAAGAATGATCATCGCAGAGAGAATATTTGAAAAAATTAGGACTGAAAAGACAATATAAGCCATAGTCCGAGAAGGGAGGAGCGCTTTTGGATACTCTTTACTAACTTTAACGCTATTAACTCCAGAAGTGTTGTAGTAAATTTGGTGGCTTTCCCTAAGATTTATCTAGGACCAAATTGATAGGAAAAACTTTTTTTCAGTAACATATACCCTTTGTAAGTAAATCTAGCTTTCTTTATTGTATTTGACTACTTTATTTAAAGCACATTTTTTGGACTTAAA